AGAAAGAGAGCAAGAACAAAAGTTGAGGATATTGCAAAGAAAGTCCTCATGCTCTGAAAAGAAAACTTTGTTATTGTTAGAGACAACATATCAACATAAGACTGTTCACTGTTTAATACTACACGTGTATTAAATTTAGGGAAAATTGTATATAATAGCAAACTATTAATTCAAATTAAATGCTATAAATATAGTTTGATTTAATTGTACCTCATAGCAAACTGTTACTATTTCACCTCTCTCCTGGTGAATCTCGCTCGCCACCCTCGTTCTCTCGCTCGCCTCTCTCGTTTTTTATACAAATGCAAGTGTATAAAGTGCGTTTGTGTTTGTATAAAGCGAGAGAAAATTGTATATATACATATATTTTCGTTCCCCTCTCTCCCCTCTCCCAGATCTCGCTCACCACTCTCCCAGATCTCGCTCTCTCACTCGCCTCTCTCACTTTATACAAAAAACGCAAATTGTATAAAATGCGTTTGTGTTTGTATAAAGCGAGAGAAAATTGTATATATACATATATTTTCGTTCCCCTCTCTCCCCTCTCCCAGATCTCGCTCACCACTCTCCCAGATCTCGCTCTCTCACTCGCCTCTCTCACTTTATACAATTGATCTTTTTGTATATGTATACCAAAGCAGATTATACAACTGTTTTTTTTTGCATATGTATAGCGAATTATACAACTTAATTCAATTTTCTATTGTGAGCTTTCATCTTTGTAAGTTGGTTCGTATATAGCATTAAGAAATGACCCTTTAAATTCAAATTTTAATTCTGAAATTGATTTCTACATTAAAGTGATGAATGACTTTCCATATCATAACTTTTCAACTTCTTCCATTATGAGATTTATAATTACTATTAAAAGCAATATCAATGTACTCATTTAGTTATTTATCAAGAAAATGATAATTTAATTATTAAAGGGCTTAAGGACTTCAAATTCTATCATTATGTAATTAAAATATTTATATTTAATCAAATTTTAATTTAGAAAAGGAGCAAAATGGTAATTTAACTTTTCACTTTGGAACTTTCCACTTATAATATATATATCTATATATATATGATGATGATGATATCATGATATGATGATAATATATCTTTTTCTACTAATTTTATATTCCTTGTGTGATGTGCCATTTGTTTTTCCTTCAGTGCATTTCGTCTTCCTCCGGATATTTTTACTTCATGTTTGTGTTCTTTACGTAGCTATGCAGTGGAGTAGCTAGGTCTACTTTGATGAATTTGCTATTCGTTTTGTACGCGGACAAAATTATCTCGCAATTATAATTCATGGACTAGTTTATCCATAGAAAAATTCCAAGTTGGATGTGGTAAGGAATAAAGTATCAATCTAATCCCAAACTTAAATATCCCGCCTTATCCGTGTACCCAAATAACCATCTTTTTTAGAATGTAGTATATTGTAAAGGAGTTAAAATTTTCATTAAGGAGATTCAGAATATAACCTTGTATTATGTATATACACTGTAATTTTTAATATTAATTTAAGATTAACACCCTTGAGCTCCTATCTCTGTCCTTGGACCTTGGTACTGTGGAGATGTTTGAGAAAGCACACGCTGAAAGTAAATATTATCAAAGCTTATCTTGATTTAATTTCTTACCTGACTATTGCAAGAACGGTAATATTCTTGTTACTAACAAAAATCTAAAATACGGATGCTCCGATTCACATTAATTATTTGGCTTACACGCAGAAGCGGATGTAACTTTCAGTATAGAGTGTGTATATATATATATCACATATTAAAATTTATTACCTATTATATCCAAACTCATAATTTAATGTAGTATAATTATTTTTGTAGAGAATAGCAGAAGAAATGTATAATTGCGAAACATTTTGCTAGCCCAAGATCGTTAACTAAGATCGGAAGATTCAACTAAAGAAGAAGAAGCTAGAAAGGAGAACTTGTTTATGTAAGAAGACTCTTGAATTAGATTTGTTTTTGGGTTTTCTTGGGTTTATTACAAATGCCTAATGTCACCCCTATTTATACTTGTATACGGATGCTTCTAGAAATTATTCTAGATACATCTACAAGAGATATCTAGATATCCTTGTCTTCTAACTATGTAACAAGAATCTAGATATTACTATATTTTACTATAAATATCTAATTATCTAGAATATTTATATTTTTCTTAAGTATAAATATCAAAGATATTTACTCTACCAAATTCTAGAAAGTTCTACTAAATATCTATGATATTTTTTGTACTTCTAAAAAATCAACTTTAATTTTTCACAATTTTAATAGTGAAAATCTTAAAAATTGAATTCATTTTATTACATTATATTTTATATTAAAAGTGGAAAGCTCTAAATGGTAGAGTTGTATTATAATATTTTATTTAAAAGAATAAAAACATTTCATAAATAATTAAATTAAGTATTTTCTACTATTCATAACATTTCATAATAATTAAATTAAGTATTTTCTACTACTCTTAAATTCTCAATATAAATAAGTCTTTTCTACTACTCCTATTTTATTTGGTTGAAATATACACAATTTCTCGAGACTTCTTTTCTACCATCTTCCGTTTCAAGTACTTATCATCTCCCTCTTTTTTTTTCTCCTACTATTTAAATATTTATGAGTTTAAGTCGAAGCAAGATTCTACGACTTCTAACTACATTTGGGTAGATAATGATGCAATTTAATATATGTATCAATTTATTTTTATTTTTCATACATAATAATTAGTTTTAGGAGATATATACTAATATTACTACATACATTTTTCTTTAAATTAAAATACTATTTTTTTAAAAATCATTTAATTTATATGTCACTACAATATCATTTAATTCCCAGTATTTTCTAACCTTAACTTATGAGTTGTCATTTTTTTTCTTTCATGTTTTGATTTTTATTTTATAGCACAAAGAAAATTCAATAATCCAAATATACTCCCTCTATTTACTTTTACTTGTCACCATTTGATTTGACATACCCATTAGTAAAATAATTATTGATATAAATATTTTACCAAACTATTCATACTAAATTATGTTTAGTATTAAGTCTTGGAAAATGATTTGGAGAAAAAATATTTAATGCTGAAGATAAAACATGAAAAAATATAATCGTAAAAATGAAAATCAATTTTAGAAATAAACAACAGATAAAAGTGGACGGAGGGAGTATTATTTAAAATTTATCATTTGTAATTTCCCAAATACAGGCAACATAGCTGGTTGTTGCATGATATGATGATGTTAACATCAGTAGCTAACAGTGGATTGTGTGGTAGTTGGATCAGCGAGACTGTCTGGTGCCCACAACACGCATCTCATCTTTTTCCTTGCTTAGTGACTTGAATGTACGACCTTAGGTCGTAGGCGAAGGGTGTCTCCAAAAATATTACTTGTATGAGCTATGTGAGTATTAGTAATTTAAAAGAGCTTGCCTGTTTGGATTGACTTTTGGCTTATGACTTATAAGTCAAAAGCCATAAGTTAAGATTTTTAACTTATGACTTTTGGCTTATTTTTGTTATTTTGGCTTTAAAATAAGTGCTTATAAGCACTTTTTAACTTTGAGCCTGTTTGGATGGGCTTTTAAGCTGGTCAAACTGACTTATTAGAGTGTTTGGCAATTCTCAAAGTAACTTATTTTAAGTCAAAAATGACTTATTTTAAGCCAAAAGCTAAAAACTAGGTGAGGGGTGCTTTTTAAAAAAAAAAACTTAAAAGCTCTTTTATGTTGACCAAGTATATACCTTTTTGCCCTTTATTCTTTTATACAATTTCCAAATTGCCCATATTGAATTAACCCTAACATCTCTATTACTACTACTACTACTAATAATAATATTATATTATTATTATTATTATTATCTAAAATAAGTTGCACATATAAAATTAACTTAAATAATAAATTTATATTCCTCTTATAAATAAATTTTGGTGTATGAATAAAAGAAATGTGTGAATGATAAGACAATTATTATTACTTATGTAATGTAACTAAAATAAATCTTAAAATCTTTCCTTTGATTTATTCAAATTATATATTTTTAAAATCTACAATAAGTTGCGCATATAAAATTAACTTAAATAATAAATTTATATTCCTCTTACAAATAATTTGGGATGATAAAGAAATATGTGAATGATAGGAAAATATTATTACTTATGGATGTAAAATATAAATTAATTTTGTTTTAATTTTTTTTAAGTATAAAAACCTTAAATCAATCAACTTTTTATCATGTTAATAGCTTTAAGGGTATTTCAGACATTTTGATAAAAAAAAAAGTGTTTACCAGCACTTATTTGCCAAACACATTAACAACTTTTTTTTCAACTGCAACACTTTTATCCAAACACATAACTACTTATTTTAAAAATAAGTTCCAGTACTTTAAAAATTTGCTTTTTTAAGTCAATCCAAACGGGCTCTTTATCCAAACACTTCAAAACTGTTTAAAATCTATTTTGACTTAAAAACACCTAAAATAAGTCAATTTAAATGGGCATCTAAAAGTAGCTTTTAATTTTGGGGAAAACATTGTTATTGTACTACAAACTGAATTTGCAGTACAATAATGGGATTCAATTAAAAGTTAGAAACAGAAAGGGTCCTATGTATGTACTCCTCAATTAGTGGTACTATCACTTTGTACTATGACTATTTCTTCTTCTGGTCCTTGCTCCATCATAAAACAGCCATTGCAGGGATTCAATTAAAAGTTAGAAACAGAAAGGGTCCTATGTATGTACTCCTCAATTAGTAGTACTATCACTTGTACTATGACTATTTCTTCTTCTGGTCCTTACTCCATCATAAAACAGCCATTGCACTAATTACCTTTTGGTCATTGAAAATTTTCATCAGGAAAAGGCCTTTTCATGTATACTCCAGATGGAAGGAATGTTTAGCATTATTGGCGAAATTAAGGAGTCCCTATATATTGAGGTAATTATGGTGTAGAATGATATTCAAAAGTGGAGAGGATAGACAGGGACGAGGCAGCGCATGAGATGTACAATTTTACTAGTTGCCCATTCCATGCACAGCCTCTTCCCTGGTTCTCCTCCCCCAAATCTCTCTCTTTTTTTTCCCTTTTATTTCCGGTCTATGACATTATAAAGTCCAGGAATGCGAAAAAAGGTACTAGTAATTGCTAAAATAATGAAATGGTCATAATCAATAATTTTATTTTTGATGAGGCTAGTCAATATGGACAACTAGATCAATAGACCTGCATTATTAGACCACAAGGACATGATTAACCAAGTGTCTCAGTATAGTATCACGATTCGTCTTATAAGTAGTTTAATGATTGAGATTATAATTTATTTCCTGTAAGAAATTGATACTTTGAATATTCTTTATTATTATTTGATTACCTAGCTACCGTAACTAGCTACAGATATACCATCAAATGTAGATCAATTACTTATTTGAGGGGCTAGTAACCAAGTGCTCCCGTATACAACAATTGATGCTTTAAATTTTAATGGAGTCCACAAACAAGGCCATAATGTGAGGTTTTAGTACTTTTTCAGGATGAGTGTATCCATCTTGGTTATGGTTGTATATGACACCCATGATGCGAGCAAGATTGAGAATACGAGTGAGAATCTTCATAGATACAGGAGTTGGTCGTAGAATTCCTTCATTTAGATCCTTCCACGCTATCTCAGCCATTTCTTGAAATTTTTCCATTGCCTCTTCTGTTGATACACCATGATCTCTCATGTAACACTCAATTTCCAGTTACAATCTGACCTCTATCCTTCTCAACCTGGATTGGAAGTTAGAATGTGTTCGTAGAAGTATGAAATCAATTTTTATCACTTCATGGTTGCAACTAGGTAAACGCATATATGTAACTTTATTTGATGCAATGTATACCTCATATGTGGCTAGGTCATCAATGACTCGACATAAGGTCACATTGGCTTCAAGAATTTTAGGGTTCTTGGCCAACCATTCAAAATCTTCCTTGTTAGCACACTTCATGTCAAAGCAGGATGTAGTTGTAAGCAAGTAATAAGTGCTAGCAACTAACGTAGGCTAAGATACTCGGAAAAAGGTGGCATATATCCATCAATTAACCATTTGGCTTCCACAAAGTAGTTTCTCACTGTTTCTTTCATCTGTCAAACAACAAGCAAAGACATTCAACCATCACTACATATCAAAACAATAACTTTCATTATAAGCAAAAATGAGGAGAAAAAAAAACTGATTAATATTGAGTTAACCAGTATAATTCACGATTCATACCCTTTCTTTTGCATATTAAACAACATCAGATCTGCCATCCTTTGACAACTCTGTTTCATAATCGTTATAGAGATCTAAAAGTGCTTTGTAGCTGATTTTCATGTACTCTGGGAGCCGATCAATTTGGCTAATATCCCACCTAATAAATGAAAAAGCAAATGAATTTGACAAGTTCAATTTAACATAACATACATCATAGGAAGAAGGAGAAACATCTAGTGTTTGACGTCAAGGCTTGTCTCCAATTACAAATTGGTAGGGGGGGGGGGGGGGGAGGAGGGGGAATATATACAATTTTACATAAATATGTTGTTTGATATGGTCTTTTCCTGAGCCCGGCACCAAAACGGACACTTTTTGAACCTTAAACACCAAAAGGGACCCTCTCTAAAAACACACACCAAAATGGACAGTTCGCCCACCTTTATGGGATCATCTAATTAAATGATAAAATGTTTGAGAAGTAGTCCATACCTCTGTATGGCATCAGTGTAGACCTCAAGTTCTTTTACAGTGCCATAAGCATCGAACGTGTCATCTAATAATGAAATAATTGCTATAGTCTTAGCAAGCATGACACGAGCCTGAGAGTATTGAGGTTCAGCATACACTCCCACTGTCCAGAAGTAGCACTCGACTGCTCTGTCCCTAGCATATGGAAGGGTTGTCACAAAATCTAAATCTTTCCACCACCTACAGAATAAGTACCAATCTTAGAAATTACTATCAACAAATAATTTATATTTTTTATGTAAATTATTAGTGTACCTTGATACTTCGCTTAGTTCTTGTTTGTGCAACATCTGAAGTAAGTTGAAGTCCAGTTTGGCAAATCGAAGCAGCACATCATTCTTAAATTCCTCCTCTTCATAGATGGAGATGAAGTAGCGTGTCTCGACTCTTGGAATGCCCTTATGGAGAGATTGCTCAAGGGCATGAGTCACTTGTTTACTCAGAGGTGACTTCAAATGTGGAGCTGCAGATTCTAGATAAGCAGTGGAAAATGAAAGCACCTCTTCTAAGATGTTGTCTCCATGAGTCCTTACATGTGAAGCTTCATATAAGTTCAATAGACCCCTGATGTTGTTACCAATGGATTTGTTTAAATTTCCCTTTGCATCTTGGAATCTGTTAAAAATTTCTGGTTCAAGTTAGTCCTTGTACATTTAATTAGGGAAAAACAAAACTAAAGATATAACAAGAAATTAATGAAGTAGAACTTGATAGATATATTACTTGGAGAAATATTGTAGCCATGTTGTCTTAGGAGTCGAAATTGAAGGGATGAAATGCATAAATCATTGTATTCATGAGCCTCAAAGTTAGGATCAATGTTGTCGTCTATTTGTTTTTCAAAGTGACAAGCAATTCCAAGGCGTTCAACAATATCAAAGAGATTCAACTTTTCAGCCAATGTTTTTCCTGACATTAATATACTCCTTGTTTGTTCCTTCAAAGTTTCAATCTCTTCAACATACTTTTCAGCAACCTGCAAATATATTTAAAAAGAAAATGTCAGAAATGAATCTCCTTTAACAAGATAAGAAATACATGTACAAAATACATACCTTATTGTCAAGGGAAAATAAATGGAAACGATCACCCCAAAGACTAGGAGAGAAGTCAGCAGCTGGAGACTTTTCTACTACTCTTAGCTTACGTAGAACAGAGAAAATTTCCTTTCCTTTCATTTCTTTTTTCTTTGTTAGGTTTCTTTGTACTATAGAATTTAAGAGAAGGTAACGAGTATTTATAATATTAAATGAATGGTGAGAGCATTTGTCATAGCCATTTTTCATGATTGAAATTCGAGATGATATCTTACCTAGTAATTCAATTATGAACTTTTCTCTCATAAACTCACTCATCTTTGATTTTTAATCCAAAATTCATTAATTTAGAGTTTGTTTGACATTGTTGTTATCTGTTGAGAGGCCAGAAACACTTATTTTGAGAAAAAAAAAATTTGTTGAAAAATCAAGTGCTTAATAAATTAGTAAAAGTGTTTTAGACGGAAGCACAAGCAGTTTTAAGAATTTTATTTTTATTTTTATATAATTAATTTTGTAATTTATTTTAAGTTTATATATTATTATTTTATATATTACATATTATTTTACATATTATTTTGCAGAATTAGAAAAAGGTAACAACATATTTTTGGAAGATTAGAAAAAAGAAAAAAAAATAACAATTAAAGATTTCAGCCTCCCAACAAATGTATAATATTGACTGAAAATTTAAATATGTACATTTTAATGTAATAAAAATAAAAAAGTGATTAGTTTTTTTATAATAGATATTTAAAATAGTTTCTCTCTATAAATAATTTTAATATTAAAAGTACATTAATAGTTGTCCTTTTTGTAATTTAACTCTCAAAAACACTTTTTTTTAAAAATCAGCCAAAACACAATTTGCTTATGAAAAGTATTTTTCAAATGAATTAGCCAAACAAAAATTGTTTTTTTTTTCAAAAGCACTTTTTCTAAAATGACATTTAAAAAAAATATTTCTAAAATTTAGTTATTTTTAGCAGTAATGCCAAATAGACTCTTAGTCACGACACAACTTATTAGTGATGGCTTAAAACTTTATAAAAATGTTTGGCAACTTACAGATAAATTTTTTTTTATACTTAATATTTTGATAAAAAATAATATCTTAATACTCCCACAAGTAATTTACTACAATTATCGCAGGAAGTAGCTTCACAGTTGCTTAAGGAGTTAAGGTGATGAAGACTTCAGCAAGGCTCTAAAAGATCAATATTACATTTAGAGGAGAATAATATTAGAATAAAAAGATTAATATTATATTTTCAGCGAACCAAGTCATTAAAATGTATGATTTAAATAGATATTCGTTTATTTTATTCAAAATTTTCATTTAATTTTTTTTATGTCGATAAATTTTAATAGAAAATTAATTAAATAGTTTGACTGACTTTGTAAGAAAAATACTCTTAATTGAGTGATTACTGAGTTAAAATCAAAGTTGAATAAATTTCTAAGAGAAAAATTAATAGTCAAAATGACTTTTGTGTGAAGAATTAAAATCTGAATAACTTTTTAAGAGAAGAATGAATAATTGAATGATTATCTGAAATATTATGTGTTGAATTTATTTATTTTCTCATACATTGTAGTAGTCATGTTGGGGGTTGCCACACTTAACTATGCTAGTGTTTGATCATAGATTTCAAGTATGACAATTATTACTTGAGTGAAGATTTGGGTGAAATTTCACCATGTGTTTAGCCAGTATTGGAGAAACATATTTCACTTTTTAAGAAATATGATTTACATCCATAAGTTTAAGATACTATCAAATCTAACTATAAGTTTGTATTGTATTACTTAGCAAGATAGAATTATAGAAATGTCGACGTAACATGATTCATGACTTCCGCAACAAGTTAGTTGGATCTACGTTGCAACAAATAACAAGTAGTGCCCATGACACTGGAGCAATGTGCTAGTTCGGAGTGAGTGTTTTAGTGTTAATAAGTAGAGGGTATTTATGTAAAAGATAAAAGTTTCGTGTAGAATTTGAATTTTTAAAAGCTCCAATATGAGATTTGGCCCAAATAATGAGATTTGGTCCAAATACTAGAAAAACTAGTATTTGGAATTACCAAAATAATGGCAAGTTTTATGGACACACTATTTGTCAAATTTTTTTCCAAATTTTACTTGAAAATATATTGCCAAACGGGTCATAATATACTGATAACTAATCACTAGTTGTTCTATTTTTTACAGAGGTGAAATTTTTTTCTCTTTAAGAATGTTTAGAATTTTATATATATGTGAAAAATAATTTTAAACTATATATTTTATATAATTTGCTATAAATAAGTATGATTTTTCGATAGAAGTGTTCAACTACGCCACTGAGCCTATTATATTCTAATACTCCTTTATAATATGACAACATATTTTTTTTTCTTTTTGGATTTTATTTATATATGTTTGCAGCATGAAACTTTAATTTACCGTGTATCTAAATTCTTGTGAACAACATTTGTGGCGGAGCTAAAAATTTAGGAAAGAATGTGTAATTTCTTCTGAGTCATATTTAGCGAAGACTGTCTAGTTTTCAACTTCATGTATACCATATGAATTTTCCATAAAAAATATGCATCAAACCACTCTTTATAAAAAATGGCTCCGCCCACAAATAACATGCCTATTCTTCTACTTTAAATTAAATTTATTAAGTTGATTTTTTTTTGCAAGTATATTAAAAAATTATAGATGAAAAGATAATTTTATTAATTCACTCCTTAATAATTTTTTAGGAAATTTTACAAATAAATGTGAATACTTTAAAAAAAAATTAATTGCAAGAATAATATAGAATTTATTTTTTTAATATTTTCTTAATTTAGTAAGATAAATAACTTATATGGGATGGATGGATGGATGGAGGGACGTCTACGTTTTCCAAATTCCTGTTACTGAATGCATGCCGTCATCCTTGATTATTTTTTTTTTTTCCGTCATCCTTACCTGACTATATTACTCTTACTTAGAAGTGACAAACGAACGAATCAAGTCAAATATAAGTCGATTAAAAATAACTTGGATTGACTTTATTTATATTTTAAATGGGTAAAAACGAGTTATTCAATGAATAATATGGGTAGGATATACATATTATAGTAGAGATCTTGTTAAAAGCTTTAAAAACAAAATCTTTTTAAATTTTATTTTATCACTCCACCCTCCCTACCATCCTCCACCCCCTATCCCAAAAAAATGTAAAAAAATCGGAAAAAAAATAGTTTGTTTTTTTACAAAAAAATAATTTTTAACAAGTTCTTTTTTTCACCCAATCCCCCT